CTCTTCCCCATTCCCTCCTGCCTGTGGCAGCAGCACCGCCGGCAGCTGCTTGCTTTGGGCTCCCGTGCCTGTGCGTGCCACAGAGCATCTCTTCCCTTCCCACCATCAGGACCCTCGGAGCCAGACCTGTCTGTTTAAGCCAGGAGCTGGGTGACTTCCCATCCTCCAAGCCTGCTCCTGGATCTCCTGAATCGCTGTGTAACCTTGGACAAGCCCCACAGCTGCCGCCAGCCTCCCCAGGGTGTTACGCTCATTAGTTAATTCTGGTGCTTTGCCTGGAGCTAGCGCCTTTTACCTGTGTCTATACAAGTATTATTGCCAGCTTCTGATCTTTTGAGCTCGCTGGGCTGAGAAAAACGACTTTGGTTTTTCCTTAAATGCCATGGAGTTTAGAAGTGTGACGACTCACACTGTGCTGTTATTCTTTCCAATTGAAACCTAATGATGCGTGCATATCACTTAACTCTGATGTCAATAATCAGCACACCACTTGGTCTTTGCCGTGGCTATTAGAGGGAATGAAAATGAAATACCAACTCCTTTTTATCCTGTTACGGTACCATAATAACTAATAAAGAAGTAATAAGTGAGACGTGGGGAATTTCCAGGGGAGTCATTACTACCGAGCAGACCTAAAGGCACAAAGTGAAATCCAGGAATATTAGCCAGCCCTGGATTCCCAGCCAGTGCTTCTCACTTAAGTTATACTGCTGCTGTAAAGTGAGTGTTTACAGAAGAAGTTAGTATGTGGAAAGTATCAGACTGTGTCCTCACCAGAGGAGTGGAAAATTGAGCCAGAATCAAAGACATCCTTGCAGACAAAGACCACCCTGTGCATCAGCGTCACATTTAGGCTGGGCCACAGTCAAGACACAATGCCAGCATTTCATAAATCTCACTTATGCTCCAGAATATGGGAAACGTTTCCCAGAAGAGCTCTAAATCACCTCTGTCTTGTCAAAGGATGGGTCGTGCGTTTTCCAGGGACTCTTAGATGGGAGAAGCCACATAGAGACCTCAGAGCAATGGGCCAAAGGAAATCATGTAACAAAATACTGAGTCAATGAGGTTCAAACCACATACAAGCTGGACAATGCATTTTCTGGCTTAGGAATTATTGAATTCTTGGTTAGGAGGGAGCAGTTATTTTTTTTGGTGGTCATGTACATAGGAGGCAGTGGGAATTCTTTGGTTTTCCTCCCCATAAATGAACTGACATTTATCCATTTCATCCAGAACAACACTACACACAGCATTAATTATTTGCAAAATGCATCAAGGTAAAAGAATGCAAATGGTCTAAAATTAAACATTTGCTGCAACTCTTCCCCATTCTCTCTTGCCTGTGGCAGACAAAAACCTGTTGTTGCTTTGGAATCCGGTCTCCAGCCACTGCCCTGTGCAGGGAAAACTTGGACCTTTACCTGCCAAAGCTTTATCTGCCTTGTCCAGAGCTGGAGCCTCCTCTGCCCCTCAGCATGGACTCAACAGAGTTGACCTAAGCAACCCCTTCTCCAGCCCCATGCTAGAAGGTGCTGTCACACTTTGCAGCCCTGCATCTTAATTCCCCCACCTTACCAAAGAAAAACCCGGTTTGGTTAAATCCCAAAGCACATTCCCACCATTATCAAGCATTTCCCAGCCATCTGATTTCCCCATCTCCGAGTTCCTGCTTTGTTTATCCTATTAATTCCAACCACCCCCTCTTCCCCCAACACACACGCACGCAGCCTCATTTACAGCATCTTCGCCAGCAGAAGCCTCCCCAAAATATTCAGGGCACACCATGCGAGGACTTACACGTGTGGGGAAACCCTCGTGACTGGAGATTTTTTTTTTTCCCCTCGAAACATGATCTCATGATTTTAATTTTTTTTTTTTTTTTTTTTTTAAAGCTCTTAAAGGAAAAAAATAACAGAGCGAGCCCCGAGGAGCGGCATTCCCGGCTGCCGTTATCCAAGCGGGGGCAGCGGGACGGCGCGGATGCTGCACCGGGAGCCGCGGGGCCGCCGGAGCCGAAGGCTCCCGCTCGCATCCTCCTCTTCCTCGGGTGGTTTTCCCTCCCTCCTCCTCCTCCCCCCCGCCCTGCATTTCCTCCTGCACCTTTAAGAAGCCCATTGCCGCCGGTGGGATGGTGTGTGCTAAAGCTGCACAGAGGAAGTTACGCAGCCGGGATCAGGCACGGAGATAAAAGCTCCGATTGTGATTGAAAGTGAGAGCAAAAGGGATTTCAGCCTCGGCATTAACTTGCGAGGGGAGCCGGGATTGCACAAAGCTCCCCCGGCCATCTGCCCTTGGGGGCCGGCGGCGCAGCGCCTGCCCGCC